TAAACGTGAAAGTTCTTGTATGTGTGTCCCCAACACAGGTAAGAACGATCCCCAAATATGTGGAGATTAACAAAGGTGTAAAAAAAATCATACCAAATTCGTTATTTTAAGAAACTCCATATTTTCATATATTATTCGTAGCATTATTATAACTTGCGCTGCTCATTGCCAGACACGTAGTGTGGTTCCAACCCCCCGCCGGACCCCCCTAAACTATACTATTTTAGAAATAAACTTACGTCATTTTAATAAAGCTGAAATTTATATATATTATTGAGAGTTCTCTCAAACTGAGTTTCCTAAATTGCCAGACAGTTTTCTTGGTTCCTTATCCTACCAGATTCATGGAAACCGTATATTGGGTAACAACGGTGTATACAATTTCATATCAAATTCGTTATTTTAAGATGCTCCATTTTTTCACATATTGCTCGTAACAGTATTATAACTTGCTCTGCTCGTTGCCAGACCCTTAGTGTGGTTCCAACCCCCCGCCGAACCCCCCGAAACTATACTATTTTATAAATAAACTTACGTCATTTTAATAAAGCTGAACCTTATATATATTATTGAGAGAACTATTAAACTGAGTTTCCTAAATTGCCAGACAGTTTTCTTGGTTCCTTATCCTACCAGACTCATTGAAACCGTATATTGGGTAACAACGGTGTATACATTTTCATATCATTATTTTAATCCATTTTTTGATTTCGTAACAGTATTATATCTCGTTCAGTGTGGTTCCAACCCCCCGCCGGATCCCCCTAAATTATACTATTTTATAAATAGACTTACGTCATTGTAATAAAGCTGAACTTTATGTATATTATTGAGAGAACTATTAAATGATTTCTAAATTGCCAGACAGTTTTCTTGGTTCCTTATCCTACCAGCTCATTGAAACCGTATATTGGGTAACAACGGTGTATACAATTTCATATCAAATTCGTTATTTTATGATGCTCCATTTTTTCACATATTGCTCATAACAGTATTATAACCTGCTCTGCTCGTTGTCGAACCAAGAAAACTGTCTGGCAATTTAGGAAACTCAGTTTAATAGTTCTCTCAATAATATATATAAAGTTCAGCTTTAGGGGGGTCCGGCGGGGGTTTGGAACCACACTAAGGGTCTGGCAATGAGCAGCGCAAGTTATAATAATGCTACGAACAATATATGAAAATATGGAGTTTCTTAAAATAACGAATTTGATATGAATTTTTTTACAACCTGGTACCTGCCAAAGGAACCACGATCCAGGTTTCATGTTTGGGGATCGTTCTTTCCTGTGTTGGGGACACACATACAAGAACTTTCACGTTTACTAAAATGACGTATGTCTGGCAGTCGTGGGCTCTTGCTCTATTAGGGGGATCTCCACGACGATCGGTCCTGCGCTGCTCGCATCCAACACCTTCCAACAAGCTTGACCACATCGTCAGTCTACCTATGTCAGACGCTGCGTTTTCCGGTCCGCAGTCGTCACTAAAAGGAGTAAAGCCCTCGCTTTACTGCCTCAACAGCCATCTGTCCTACGAGCTATATGCCCTGCCCATTGCCACTTCAGTTTCGCAATTCTTCGGGCTATGTCGGTCACTCTGGTTCTTCTACGGATCTCCTCATTTCTGATACGATCACGACGAGAAACTCCGAGCATAGCCCTGTTCATTGCCCTCTGAGTGACTCGTGAGCTTAGTTCTTAGGCCCATAGTTAGCGACCACGTCTCTGTGCCGTAAGTCATCACTGGCAACACACATTGGTTGTAAACTTTCGTCTTGAGACGGTACTTTATGAGAATTTTCTGAGTCGAAACGTAAATTGTATGGAGCAGCTCATAATCGAAGAATCATTAGAGGGCAAATGTTTTCGGAGTCAATCACCAACGCGATGGACTGACCTTATAAAAAAGGTTACACAGCAGTCCGTTGTGAATTTTTTTTTATTAGGTTAGGGAACAAGTGTTTATCTCTCCCCTGATGGTAAGTGATTATCGCCACCCATGCGCACTCGCAACTGTTTACCACAGAAGGTAGAACATTAAATGAGAGGCATAAGTCCAGCAGTGGGGAGAAGGGGATTATTAGCAATGGGAACTAGTAAATCCCATTGCTAGCAATGTACCATGTTAGATCAACCTCCATGCGGTTCCCCCTGGAAACCACCGTGATAAATTCTTGGTGAATTTGTCACGATGGGCTAACTGACCTGACCTCATGTTCATCTTATCATCCTCCACTGGTGCCCCGCCAGCGTAAACCGTTAGCTCAGGCGGGTGCAACCATTCCATTGTCATCAACTACAAAGAAAAAGTCCAGCAGTGGCAATATATGCTGACAAAGAAGTATCTAAAGTAGATCTACATAAATTAATATATTATGATTTCATTTAAAAAAAAATCAACAGAACTTGTTACAACAAATCTTTAAATGGCATTCGCAGATTTTGTTAGTGTACAATATGATAAGATATACACTGCCAATCCCCTATATACTGATTGTGGAGTATATATATATATGTATATATATGTTGCAGTAGTGTATGATGTTGTGGAAAAAACAAAAGTACATTACCAGCTATGCACAGATGTATTACAAATCTTTGAATCTTTCTCAGCTTGTTTATATGTTACATCTGAGAATATTATTACTATTATTTATTCCCTTAAGCGATGAAGGGATATTAATTCAGATATCCTAATTGTATATCTAAAAAGGGATTGAGTTATAAATTTAGTAGGTCAATGTCCAATTTACACTCAGCCCGAGTGGGCAGGGAAGTGAGCAGCACGAAGTTTCCACTCGTGTTCACACACACTCCCGCGTGTGTGAACACGAGTGGAAACACTTTCCATGCCATTGGCGCTGCCACTCGCGCTGCCCGGCGCTCCCTCGATTGTCGGTTTTTCGTGCGCGAGTCAAAGGACTGATAGCGCGAGTGGCAGCGTGTTTTTACATTCAGCCCTCTCGCTCAGTTGTCGCCCGGCAATATTTCCGGCAGCGCAAGTGGCAGGGGAAGCGACTGAATGTAAACATAGCATAAGAAAAAAGTTGATGACTATTTTTTATAATCCTAGATAATAAGAAATCTAGAGAACTCTATACAGAAATCATTTTCAAGGGAAAACAATTTGCCAGGTAAATACTAGCTTACTTATAAAGACTTTAAATTGTTATATCACTATCAATATTATAATACATATAATATTCATAGTCAATGAATAAAATAATAACAAATATGTATGGATATATCATATAAATAATAATAAACTATATTAAATAATTTGAAATATTAGGAAAGTAACTTCAAAGTAACTTAAAAGTTAAAATTGGTTTCGCATTTTTTTTTTATAAATTATGCATTGTATCATTTTTCCACTCCACAAGTGTACCAGAATGAGAGCCAGTAGGGAGAAATGGTGAGCTGTAGTAAGACAGATGCCATCTGCTTCTCACTCTACTACATAATGACCACAACCGTTCTGTCAAGTGTAAATTGAGTAATTGTATATTGAAAATAAAAAAAATATATATAATTTTATTTTATGTTTCAACTAGCTACTGTACTATATATATATAACTCAAAGGTGACTGACATAGTGATCTATCAACGCACAGCCCAAACCACTGGACGGATCGGGCTGAAATTTGGCATGCAGGTAGATGTTGTGACATAGGCATCCGTTAAAAATGGATTTTGATTAATTCTACCCCCAACGGGATAAAATAGGGGACGAAAGTTTGTTAATTTCAAACCGATCGGGCTCAGACTTTGCATTCATAAAACTACTATGACATAAGCATCCCCTAAGAAAGGATTTTAATTAATTCCACCTCTAAGAGGATAAATTAACGAGAGCGAAGCCGCGGGCTTATAAATGTATACATATAAATGTTCCTCTTGAATCACTCTATCTATTAAAAAAAACGCTTCAATATCTGTTGCATAGTTTTATAGATTTAAGCATACATAGGGATGGACAGACAGCGACAGTGACTTTGTTTTATACTATGTAATAATGAAGTACTCTAATGCTGTTGGCCAGGGAAAGGGGATTGTTAGTACTGTGGACTAATGCTCCCACTGCTAGCAATTTACCATATCAGGTTGACCTCCATGCAGTTTCCCTGGAAACTATCGTGATAAATTCTTAGTGTATTTGTTACGATGGGCTAACTGACTGACCTCATGTTCATCTTATCATCCTCCACTGATACACCGCCCGCGTAAACCGTTAGCGCAGGCGGGTGCACCATTCCATTATCTTCCATAAAAAAAAACATTAGATTTACTCATAAGAGCATAAAAAGAGACAGCATAAAATGTACATAGCGAAATTTCAACTAAGTTCCGAATGAGTGGCAGCATAAAAAAATAGTTTATTATTTCTATCAAGATAAATTTCTTGTGAATTTGTCACAAGGGTCTAACTGACCTTAACGGACTGAAAGTTGGTGAAACCAATTTTCAATACTACCCCATAAAAAGTGAAAATTAAAAATAATAATACATATTACCTATACAAATAAATTTCTTGAGATTTTATCACAATGGCCTAACTGATAACTGACCTGACCTTAAGTAAATTGGTGAAATCAATTTTTATTACTACCCCATAATTAGTGAAAATTTAAATATGATATTATACAATATAATAAGTCCCAATTATTTTTAAAAATATTTTATTTCTTCAAAACATAGGCAACATGAATAACACAGACAAAATCGAACCTATGATCTTACTGATACGAAGCTAAATACTATACCCACTGGACTATAAGGGGGATTAAAATGAAATTCCATTTGTTCCGTGGATTTGATAAAAAAACATTTTCGGTTTTATAAAGCAGGACTTATTTAACAGTTAACTTAATGATTTTAAATTAAAAACAGTTATTTTATGAATAGTATTATTGGAAAAAGGATTTCAACAGGCTTTTCCATAAGCTTATCAGTTGTTTATCACATTCCATAGGGTACTATCAAACATTTATCACTTACATTTGATACTGTGTTTTTCTGCCTTAATTCCTGCAACTCCTCGCCGGTTTCCGCCATTTTAAGTTAAATTTATAATAAACACTTATTGTTTAATTCATAAATATAATAAATTAATTAAAATTAATATGAATTCATAACGAAATCAGTGTTTCGTTAAATATCAAGTCAAAATAATTTATCAAGCAGCGGTTTATTGATAACAGATGATATGATAACAAACAGTACATGTGAAAATGACAGATAGGAGACGTCAGTCTATACTATAATGACAGCTGTCATTTTAAAATATTGCCTACTACGTGGCTGTATGGGAATAATTTCCTATGCCTTGTTATTATAGGATAAACAAAAACAAAAAAAATGCTTCTATAATATTCTAATTCCCAATAAGCAATTAAATAATGTCTTATAAAGTAAAGACAAAAGTTTTAAATAGAGAGAGAGGTAAATACCTTTATTTGCCATAAAATTACTTAGACCCGGTGAATAATAGAAATAATGTATATTATACACGAAAGTTTAAAAATAACTAAAAGTTTTAAATAATAAATTAAAGTAGTTATTATTGGAAAGTTGACACTAAATAAACTTTAACATTTCTATTAAACTGGCATTAACATGTGTCAATGTAAATGTAATTTACCAGGACCGAGTTGAATTACATTAAAAAAATTCTATGATCTAAAAGTAAATACAATAAATTTTCCAATCAAATCTAATCTACATTAGATTAGCTTTTTAGATATTAATAAGTTATCTCATAATTATAATATTAATAAATAAAATGAAGAATAATAACCGCGTCAAATTTAAACAGTAAAAAATGAAGAATCCGTTATACACTTGTATATGAATATTCTTCGTTTGTTTTATTTGCTCTATAAAAATTGTAGGCGCTAATTTACTGTTTTATGTATGATATGGAATAACTAATTAATCAAACTTTAACTGAGGTTAGTAACCAACTACCTAATATCTATAGATCACTATCTGCATAGAATGCACTAAATGATACTTTATACCTGGAGATTAAATGTTATAGTTATCTGAGCCAAGTAATTTAACTTCAGAACACCATGAAATCACAAAAAGGTGGCTGGTAATTATTATATGGAACTCGATAGACATACACAAATTTTCTCAGATGTAAACTTTTAGTCTTATATTTATTTCACTATTTCACTTATGCATGAGTAAGCTACAACTACATAGGGTGTGAGTTGAGTCAAATGGATGACCAAACGTCACCAGGCGGGGGGCAAAGGTGATTGTTTATTCACGGTACATGGCTGATTCGCGGCATACCTGCATAGTTTTCGGTGCCGGGCGGAGCCATCGTGACCCTGTGACCAGTTAACAGCACATAATATCACAGTGCCCTCGCTTTGGAGCGGAAAGAATGGAAACAGAAATAGAAATAGTAGAGAAAAATTACTACGCAATAGTAAGAAATCGGAAAAGTAGGGAAAAATTTATAGAATACAGCGGAAAAATAATAGAAAAAGTAGCAAAGACCAATAGTAAGTAAGCATTACGATGTATAGTGACTATGCAATCGGTTAAAATAGATCAAGTGTAAAGTAAAGTAAGAATATGAGTAATAAAATATGGTCGAGCGCAGTGATGGCTGGCTCATCCGTCATACTCGTGAACGATGCTGCTTGTAGGGACTGGTCTGCTCTTATCACTACGACTGATTTAATCTTATTGTGTTTTTATATTTGAGCCTAAATAAATTAGTGCTGGTTGGTAGTTTGTATTCACACGTTTCGACTTGTAAAATGTGAACTTACAAGGATTGTTTAAAAGAGCAACACACAAGTTTCTTGCTTATTCTTCTTGTGATGAGACAGCTTTCCGAATAAGCGGTAAATTTAAAAAAATGTTGACTATTCAAAAGTGTTTAAATTAAGTTTATTTGAATAAATGATTTTCTATTCTATTCTATTCTAATAGCAAATAGAATAGAAATAGGAATAGAGGATAAGGAAATGTAAAGAGAAAAGAGGCAAAATGTAAATTAAAATGAAAATAAATAAGTTAGAAAGTAAGAAAGTATTGCAATAAGTCCGATAATATAAACTGTGGAATTAGTATATATATTAGAATACTCCCTAAAAAAGTAGTAAGGCTGGAAATAGACATCCAGGAAGAAAGGAAAAAAAAGGTGATTGTATGTAATGTGGACTGATGATCTTATTGCTAGCAATGTACCACCTCAAGTTGACCTCCACGCGGTTCCCATTAGAAACCATCGTGATAAAATCTTGGTGAATTTGTCACAATTTTGACTGACCTGACCTCAAGCTCATCTTATCATCCACTGGTACCCCGCAAGCATACTATTAGCGGAGGCAGGTATAAAAAAAAACGCCACTAGGGGTGTCATCTTACATTTGACAAAATTAGAAGTACTATAGTTTTTTTAAGTTGTCGTCTTTAATATCATGATCATCATCATCGCAGCTCGGAAGACGTCCACTGGTGGAGTGGACATAGGCCTCCCCCAAAGATCTCCTCGACGATCGGTCCTGCGCTGCTCGCATCCATCGCCTTCTAGCGATCTTGACCAGATCGTCGGTCCACCTTCCTGGAGGCCTTCCCACGCTGCATCTTTAATTAATTCGTGTTTAGTAGGTATACATTATTTATATTATTCATCATCAGCCCATTTCAGTCCACTGCTGGACATCCACTGCTGGACATAGGCCTCTCCCAAGGCACGCCTCTGGGCATGGTCTTCGGCCCTTCTCTTCTTTATGTTATTAATCGGGTCTTAAACGTCGAGATAGGTAAATATATAATACCTTTATTTGCCATAAAATTATGCGTGTTAAGACCCAGTTAATAAAATAAATATAATATAATATCTCAGGACAATTCATATAGCGCCATCTAGTCCCAAGCTAAGCAGAGGTTGTATTATGTGTACTAGACAACTGATATAAATACATGGATACATTTTTTTTTGTAAATACATAGAAAACATCCAGACCGATACAAACAATCATACTCATGAATACAAATGTTTGTACCGTGCGAGGAGGAATCGAACCCACAACCATCGGATGGTAAAGCGGTGTGCTAAACCACTAGACCACCGAGGCTGTCAGATGATTAAAAGTATAACATTTAAGCTAATAAATTAAAAACAATATCCTTGTGTAAGTATTCAATATTTTTATTAATGTTATGCTCACAATCTAAGTACAGTGTATAGTATAGACTACTGAATAAATTAACATCTGGTAATCACTATCGAACATTAGCACAATACATCACCATTTTTACATTGAAATGTAAGTTTTAGACATATAACGCTTTTCCTGAAAGTGTACAGTATCAGTAAAGCACAGTTCACAATTGTATCTATTACAGAAAATCGAGGGCGGCTCCAGCTTAGGCGCCAGGAGGGGGTCATAGTAGTGGTCAAGTCATGAACTTATAATTTTATATTGATAACAGTAGATACAAGTAAAAGGTACGTATTTTATTAATGTACATAAGTACTGTACTTAAAAATACATATTAAAAAAGTATAGTGACAAAATATATATATATCTAATATATATAACATAAAATATTATGTACAATCAGTGGTCCACCTAAGTCCTGGGCTCAGGGGGGGAGGGTCATGACCCCCATGACCCCCCTGAATCCGCCGTTGGAGAAAATACAAGTTTCATTTTTTCTACAGAAACTTCAATGTATAATATATAATATAATAATAATAAGTACATTTGTGAACTAAGCTATAGAAATAGAAAATTAGAACATGGCTCGTTAAATATATATTTATATACAGTTATAGTATACGTAAATAAAGTATGAAACGAAATTGGCTATATATTACATATTTACCGACAAAGGCCCTATTTTAATTATAATATGCTTAACCAACTATTTATCTAAATATTTATATTTATATTCAAATTTATACAGTTTATATACACGATAATTTATATACAATTAACGCTAACAGATCTTAATAATATTACTGTTATCCCATTTTGTTTAACTAAATTTTAAATATAATAAAATTATGGTAAACATCACATAATAGTTAAAAGATTTGCACGGATTCTAATGCGTTACTATTTAGACAAAATGAACTAATATAAAATAGAGGAGAAAGGTGATTGTTAGTAATGGACTGATGATCTCATTGCTAGCGATATACCATGTTAAATTGACCTCTACGCGGTTTCCCCTGGATACCAACGTGATAAATTCTTGGTGAATTCATCACGATGGTTTCCTATAAATATAACTATAATTTCATAATTAGTAAACATATTATTACTGATTATTATCGACAGTATGAATTTCATGAGATAGTAATTCCGCTAAAGCGTCTGCATTTCCCCCATCACCTATATCTATTATGTACCTATCTCTGCAAAACAGATGTCATATAGACTGGCTTGCAATATATTTTCATGCTTCTTTTATAACACAGGGGACAAACGAGCATGCGGCTCACCTGATGGTTAGTGATTACCGCCGCCCATGAGCACCCGTAACACCAGGGGAATAGCAAGTCCGGTCGGCCTTTTAAAATGGAATAAGTTATTTTTTTAAGGTTTCAATATCGTATCGGTTCGGAAATACTATTGCTGGAAGGTGATTCCACAATGTGGTTGTGCGTGGCAAAAAGTTTCTAAAAAACCGCACTGTGGAGGACCGCCATTCATCCAGATGATCAGGATGGTACTTTAGTTTCTGGCGGGTGGTACGGTGGTGAAACCGATGGTGTGTTTTATTACGAAGCATCCACTAGTAATCCGAACTGCTTCAGATATAGCGACATCTATCGCCTACAGCGGCGAAACAAAATAGCTCGAAGAATAGCCCGAGTTAGGAATAAACCGTTTTCTTATGGGGTATCTGTATGTAATATTATGTTAACTGTAATATTAGTAAGATGGTAGTTCAACTTAAAAACGCATTAGAATCTCAGTGTTCGTTTACGCAAAAAAATTGCAAACATAAAAATAATGGCGTAACTTGGCAAGATTATCAGATATATATGTATAGAGGTACACTTAATATATATAACTTAGAGGAAAGTGAACATTTATATATTATAGTATTATTATCACATATTTTCGCCATCACTGCCCTAAAATGATTTCTAGTTCTACCCAAAGGTTAACTGGTAGAGAATGCCATATGGCATTAAGCTCGCCTCTTGTACACTCTTTATAGTGCAATAAAGAATAAAAAAAAATGTGTTCCTTTCTATATTATACCAAACATTTTAAATATTCTCTTAGTTAAGGTTAGTTTTTGATGTTGTTTATGGTATTCCCTATTTGGGGAACCTATCCCTATATGGGTACTTTCATTTTATTTAATTTCTGAAAAATTTTTCTTACCCCAAAGTTATTAATATAACCTAATATTGTTAAAAATAAGTACAAATATGACTGTTGATAATTACCACAAAACGTTGTTTATTTATAAGATTAGTGGAAATTATGCCTATAATCAAAATGGTATTTTATATATGGTCACTTTCCTCTACATGATTAAAAAAATCCAGTTTACAGAATATGGATTTTTAATAATTAAGGTTAAAACCAAATGAAGACTGCGCAGGGAACAAAATAAAAGTGGATATAAAAAATACTGTTTAATTTATAACTTCCCCAATACCTACCCACAGTGGGTTATTAATTATTTTATTTTTTTATTTATCTCCATTTGGTTTTACTTTTAATTTTCTGTTTATTTGTTATATACATATATATAATATTTTTTATTTACAGACATGCAGTCTGTATTGAACAGTTATTTTTTTAAGTAGATAAATTATTACTAAATTGATTTTCAGGTCTGCAATTTTTAATACACTTCTCATATAACTAGGTTTGTTAACGGTGTTGTTTACACACCAGGTTACATGTTGAGCGGAGTGCGTTTACTCTCAACACATTATCTGCCAACAAGTTTTTTTATAAAATGTAAAAAAAATTATATATATTTAATAAATTATGTAGAGATATGATTATTTAATTTACTCTCATGCATGTTTTTATTTTATTTTGAGGATTTTTATGTGTCTGTATGGCAAGTTAAAGTAGGTACTCAGTGTCAGTCACTGGTGACTGATGACCCGTGACTGGCAGAATACTCCAATGTGGTTAAGGCAGTTAATGTGTTAAAAAATCACAACCAATCATAATTTTTTTGAGTGGTAAACAATGGACGGTCGAAATTCGACTTTCGATGAAATTATGGTCTCGATCTGTCGAGCCGTTTCTAAGGATCGTTACAAAGACTGCAAATGTGATTTCAAAGATCTCTCTGCATTTATTACTCCGCTCAATAAAAATAATAGTTAGTTAGTAGATTCCTAGAAGGAAATGGAAATCAATAAATCAACTTTTTAAATCAACCTATAAAAAATAGTATCTAATTTGATATTTTCGTTGACTTAGTTGTACAAATGAGTACATAATTAGTTAATTAATATTGAGAGACAACATTACTGCAAATAATATTACAATCGTAATAGATCGTGTTATTTAAAATCTGTGTTATTTTATTAAATTCATTTTGGTATAAACTTTATTTATTAGTTACGTTTAATTCTGCTCTGGTTAGGGTTGCCAACCATACTTTGTAATAACGTATCCTACTTTAATTTTGGTAATTATACTTTACACTTTTACATACAAATAAAGTATGCGAAAATACTTTATTTTCAACCTTCACTGTGATGCGTAAAACAAAATACTCTTTATGGGTACTTAACGATTTATAATTACTGAACGAAATGTTAGATGTCAGTTGTGAGTTGTGACATTTGTCACAGATCACAGTTGTCACTCACTATCGACGAAATTGTACAAAAATGATCCCCTGGTTTTGTTTATAATTGAAAGATTAAAAACGATTTTGATTTATTTAAATTTAATACTGTATAATACGGAAATACATTTCATTTCATTTCATTTCATTTCATTTAAATGTTGATTGTCAAACAAGCTGTTGCAACATTTAATGATAACAAAAAAATGTTAGCATATGCTAAAAGGACACAAAAATACGTTTTTAAAGCAATGAAAACATAACCTAAACATAAATGGTCTCGGACAGCGTGGTTTCAGAGGAGCTTCCTCCCGCGTACACTTAGATTATGGAATGAATTACCTGCCGAGGTTTTCTCACGAGATTACAGCATGGGGTTTTTCAAGAAGAGTAGGTTTCTTAAGGGTCGGCAACGCGCATGTGACACCCCTGGTGTTTCAGGCATTCATAGGCTACGGTAGCCATTTACCATCAGATGGGCTGTATGCTTGTTTGACACCATCGTAGTATAAAAAAAAAATAAAGTTTGAAAAATATTTTTTTTTTCAAACCAGTTTATACGTTATTTTTGTCAAAAGTTGGCAACCCTAGCTCTGGTGAGCATTATGTGAGGCGACACTAGGGCGATGGTGGTAGACTGTCGTCGCTCTCGAGGTACGTCACGTAGTTGTCTTCAGTGCTGTGAGGAGGTCGAGGGGGTGGCAGCGAAGGGACGTCGTACCCATGCATCTATAATAAACAAAAAATTTATAAGAAAAGCAATTTTCTATTACAGCTACGCCTTTAATGTTTTTTAAAAATAAAATCACACATTTCGAAAATGAATGATTGGTCGAACATAGAGTGGAAAGTGTTTGGTATTTTTATACACATTCCGCTCGTATATTTCGTAGTCTGTGTTTGGACACGCCAAATAAGTACATACTTAAATAAAAAAATAACTATAAATCATTTTGTATACCAGTAAGGGTAAAAATATTTTTTTTTATCATAATTTCAACATGCAATATTCCTCCAAATAACATATATATCAACAATTTAGTAAACAATATAATGGCGGAGCGATTCAAAGTTTGCGAGTGTGAGCGAACAATCATTCACACTCACAAACTTTCAAAACGCAATATTTTGTGAGTATAGTGAATGGATTTTGTTACTCTTTCACGCAAATGTTATAGAATAGATTTTGATGGTGGTTCGGTTAGAAGTTTTGGTGTCGGTACAATTGTGGAGAGTGACCTGGTTAACCAATTATTGAAAGGAGCTATGTTTTGGTGTTGGTACACTTGTGGAGAGTGACCTGGTTGACCAACTACTGGAAGGAGCTAAGTTTTGGTGTTGGTACAATTGAGGAGAGTGACCTGGTTGACCAACTACTGGAAGGAGCTAAGTTTTAGAGTTGGTACAATTGAGGAGAATGACCTGGTTGACCAACTACTGGAAGGAGCTAAGTTTTAGAGTTGGTACAATTGAGGAGAATGACCTGGTTGACCAACTACTGGAAGGAGCTAAGTTTTGATGTTGGTGTAATTGAGGAGAGTGACCTGGTTGACCAACTACTGGAAGGAGCTAAGTTTTGATGTTGGTGTAATTGAGGAGAGTGACCTGGTTGACCAACTACTGGAAGGAGCTAAGTTTTGATGTTGGTATAATTGAGGAGAGTGACCTGGTTGACCAACTACTGGAAGGAGCTAAGTTTTGATGTTGGTATAATTGAGGAGAGTGACCTGGTTGACCAACTACTGGAAGGAGCTAAGTTTTGGTGTTGGTATAATTGAGGAGAGTGACCTGGTTGGCCAACTACTGGAAGGAGCTAAGTTTTGGTGTTGGTATAATTGAGGAGAGTGACCTGGTTGACCAACTACTGGAAGGAGCTAAGTTTTGGTGTTGGTATAATTGAGGAGAGTGACCTGGTTGTCCAATTACTGGAAGAAGTTAAGTTTTGGAATCGATACAATTGAGGAGAGTGATCTGGTTATCCAACTACTGCAAGGAGCTAGGTTTTGGAATTGGTACAATTAAGGAGAGTCACCTGGTTATCCAACTACTGCAAGGAGCTAAGTTTTGGAATTGGTACAATTAAGGAGAGTCACCTGGTTATCCAACTACTGCAAGGAGCTAAGTTTTGGAATTGGTACAATTAAGGAGAGTCACCTGGTTATCCAACTACTGCAAGGAGCTAAGTTTTGGAATTGGTACAATTAAGGAGAGTCACCTGGTTGACCAACTACTGGAAGTTGCTAAGTGGCCTAATGGCCAAATTATTTTCCTGCTGGAAGTTAAATTTTGGAGTTGATAAAATCGAGGAGCCCGACCTGGTTGACGAGCTGCTGGAAGGCGGCGCTGTGGTGCGGGGCGCGGTCCAGGTCTGCGTGCAGCGCGAAGTCGGAGAGCGCCTTCCAGGGCGGCTGGTAGGCCGTCACCTCCAGCGCCAGCGAGCCGCCCGGCTCGTGCCGCACCGGGGACCCCGCCACTAGCGGCACTCCCATCGACATGTACCCCATGCGGCGACCTTCCTGCGGGAGAAACCGACGCACGGGTCAGGCGACTCGCTCCCAATTTGTATACTGAACTAGACGGTAGGGAAAAATTCTTCTGAGGAAGACCGAAAAAGATGGATGTACCGTGTGATAGATATCAATATATATTAATATATTATATTCTATCATTTCCTTGCCTTTTTCCCATTCATTTGGGATCGGCGCAGTATGTCATTCTCTTCCACTGATCTCTATCTGCCGTAATATTTATAAACTAGTAGTAATAAAAATATACCAAAAGTCAAATTACCACCTTCTCCTGCTGCATTTGCATTTTGAGCTGCATTGTTTTCTTCTTGTCCTTGCAACGTTTGTTCTGAAACCAGACCCTGATAACCCTGGGGCTTAAGCCCGTCATTTCTACGAGTTGCTCCTTCATTAGCGCATCTGGACGTGGATTCGCCGCGTAGCATGTCCTGAAAGAAGAAATGTATTTGACGTTGTAACAATTTATCATGACTCTATATTTATAATCTATACATATAAATAAAATTGGAGTGTCTGTTTGTAATATTTAAATAACCGTTTTTACTACATGCATATGAATATAAATACGGTACATACACCAAAATAACATTTTTTACAATTTTTGTCTGTCTGTCTGTCTGTTTGTTCCGGCTAATCTCGAAATGGCCGGACCGATTTTGACGTGATTTCTTTGGCAGATAGCTGATGTAATAAGGAGTAACTTAGGCTACTTTTATTTTAGAAGAATAAAGTTAAATTCCACGCGGACGAAGTAGCGGGAATAGCTAGTTTATAATATAATTGCAATACAGAGAGATGGAAATGACATTTACCTATCATTTTTGGATTACTTAATTTACGGCATCATTTATGTATGTAACTTTTTCCCGGACAGAGTCGGAGGTAACAACTAGTAATTATACAATGACTGACCTGAGTGTGTGGAGCTGCTTCTCATTGAGGACTGTCCGGACTCTGGTAGGTTTCCCATCCGCTGCGGCCGCGGTGCGCGCGCGCCCGCTCTTGTGGGACCCGGATTCACTTCCCGAGTCTGTAATTTTACATATAATAGAGTAGATAGTAGATATAGTTATATCTTCTAGTTTAATATATAAAAAATCTCCTGTCACAGTTTTAGTTGCGCTACCTCTCCGTAACGGCTTGACCGACTTTGATGAAATTTTAAATAGATACATTTAAAATTTAAAATTTCATCAAAGTCTGTATTGTTGTCTATATTTTATACCTCTAAGTATCACGCCTAAGTCCCACGCCACATTTTTTTTTTATTTAAACATTTAATTTTTTTATTTCTTCCCCTACATTAAATAGTTCCATAATCATTCATTAAAAAAAATCAAGTATTATTAGGTTATTTATGTTTTATACCAGTAAGTGTTAAGGCAGGCCACCCTTAACACTTACTGGTATAAAACATAAATAACCTATTCTCAGACCTATCGAATATAAACATAAAATTTCATCAAAATCAGTCAAGCCGTTTTGGAGGACTATGGCTACTACAAACACTCTAAATTTTATATTAGAGATATAAAGGATTCTATAATTTTCTAATTATTTTATATTAATTACTCAAGGGTTGTCACCCCTGAGTAATTAAATAATACAAACATTAAACCCGATATAATTATCAAGGAGTGCAATCCTTCTAATCACTCGACAAACATTACAATGTCAACCCTAAAACACCGGCCGAAACCCGATTAGATATTTACAAAGGAGTATCCGAGCCGAGCTTACCGAGGTGTGAAATGTGGATCAACTGGACATGGTCATTTGGACCTCGTAATCGTGATAAGCTAGCTTTTGAGGGGTTAACATGTAATACAAATTAATAATTTGTATGTGTGTCCAATAGGGGTTGTAATTAAAAAATATTATAAGTAAGTTTTTTTATTTTTTTCATATTGTAACTAGCTGTACAAGCGACTTCGTCTGCGTGAAATTTAAAGTATTTTCTAAAATAAAAATAGCCTAAATTACTCCTTATTACATCAGCTACCTGCCAATAAAAGGACCGTCAAAATCGGGCTAGCCATTTCAGAGATTAGCCGGAACAGACAGACAGACAGACAGACAGACAAAAATTGGAAAAAATTATATTTTGTTGTATGTATTTGTTATATTCATATGCGTGTAGTAAAAAACTATCATTATCTGCTTCTTCCTTATCCCATTTATTTGGGGTCGGCGTAATATGTTTTTCGTTTCCATTCATCCCTGTTCGCAGTCATCGCGTTATTTACCTCCTTTCTTACCATATCATCTTTCACACAGTCCATCCATCTCTTTTTCGGCCTTCCTCTGCCCTTATAACCATCCACATTCATATGTAACACCTTTCTTAAAATATTATCCTCGTTCCTACGCATTACATGTCCATACCATGATAGACTATTACTCTACAACCTCTCTGACATCGGTGCCAATTTCATACATGTAGTAAAAAACTACCTTAGTAGTAAATCTACCTTAAAAAACTTTCCACAACTTTCAATGACGCAATGATAACTTGCAACTCTACAGTTACGCCTCATCACAATAAAGATCTTTGATTCCCTTTGATTGAACTTTTTAAAATTTCGGATCTTACAAAACTTCCCGCAATTATTTTTTAATTAATTCTACGGTTACGCCTCTATGCATAGGTAGAAGGTCTTTGTTTCCCAAATTACATTTTAAAATATCGAATTTTATAAAACTTTTTGCAGTTGTCCTCTAGGTTACGTCTGTACGCAATGTTGGTCTTTGCTTCCCAGATAACTTTTTAAAATTGCGATATTTATAAAACTTCCCGTAATGATCTTCTACGGTTACGCCTCTATGCAATGTTGGTCTTTGCTTCCCAAAAAACGTTTTAAAATTTCAATTTTTATAAAACTTCCAACGATGATTTTCTATGGTTACGCCTCTATCTTTGCAAGATAGTCTTTGCTTCCCAAATAACTTTTTAAAATTTCGAACTTTACAAAACTTCCCGCGATTATCCTCTACTGTTAAGCCTCTATTCAAGGATAGTCTTTGCTTTCCAGATAACTTTTTAAAATATCGAATTTTACAAAACTTCTCGAAATAATCTTCTACGGTTACGCTTCTATGCAAAGATAGTATTTGATTCCCCAATAACTTTTTAAATGTTCGATATTTATAAAAGTTCTCGCGATGATCCTGTACGATTACGCAGATTTGCAAAGGCAGTCTTTGCTTCCCAAATAACTTTTGAAATTTCCGAATTTTACGAAACTTCCCGCGATGATCCTCTATGGTTACGCCTCTATGCAATGTTGGTCTTTGCGTCCCAAATAACTTTTTAAAATTTCGAATTTTACGAAACTTCCCGCGATGATCCTCTATGGTTACGCCTCTATGCAATGTTGGTCTTTGCGTCCCAAATAACTTTTTAAAATTTCGAATTTTACGAAACTTCCCGCGATGATCCTCTATGGTTACGCCTCTATGCAATGTTGGTCTTTGCTTCCCAAATAACTTTTTAAAATTTCGAATTCTAAAAAACCTCCCACGACTGACGCAACCAATTTATCGGAAAACAAAAGACATTTTAATTTTCCAATCACCACTGATATATTGATAAAGGAGTCCAGTTGTTGGGCGCGGCGACATCAAAGTGCGCGGCAACTTTGTCGGCTAACTTCAAAGAGTTTATCGGTCAATCAGTGCCAGATCGCGAAACGTTATCGCCACTTGAAATACCACTTGAGATATGATACCTAATTACGGATGTCAACTGATACGTTCCACTAATATATTAAGGTTGATTTCGACCGGCCGTGAGATTATGACCTTTTGTGCAGTACTTTCTAGAAGTTCTCCAAAACATTGCAGACTATATACAGACATACTCGTAGTTTATATAATTTACAATTCAATATTTTTAGTTATTTATTTAAAACAGAAACATCTATACCAATTCACTGAAGAAACGATAACACTCACAGAAGTATAGAACTGTGTTTTTTTTTATTTATATTTTTATAGTAATATCTGCTGCTTCCTTTGTGGCGACATCCTTTTGGCCAATTTTTAGATATAAAATTGTGTTGCGAAGAGAGAGAGAGAGAGAAAGTGGGTGGTCTATGATGTCTATATAAATAAGATTATTTTTGAAGCTATAATATTTAGAATACAAGTCGAGTCAAGAAAGTTTTAAAAGATCTTTTTTTCATAAAACAAGCTTTGAAGCCATTTAACATACAACAACTTATATTTATAGCAGGATAGGGAATTCATATATATGTACAGACATATATACGTATTATTATGTATATATACGTTTATGATACTTATATTAAAGATAGAGTACTGTTCAAAATATACCCTGTACCATCGTAAGCACAGATTATTATATTAGAGTCCGTTAGTTTGTGTTCCCGCGATTTCTGTTAAACCTACTGTGAAACCTATTGTGAAACTGGAAAGCTAGCGAAGATATCTTCGAGACCCTGAAGCCCAAGAAATCCGCAGAACCATACAGGTACGTGACAGACGTTTCCACACATATTTTTCCCTATATATATACATAGTATTTTCCCTAACATTTTGGTAGCAGAGAGTAGTTTCCCTAACAAGTACAAAATCATTAATACATACAATTAGGAAAAAATGATGGGATCTTATCATGTTTTATTTATTTTTGATTTAGGATTAGAATTTTCTAGTGTCCTGGGACGACCTGAATAGTTAGTTTAATTAGTTAGTCCTGGATATTTGAATTTCAAAATTCAGAAATGATTCAGAATAAGGGAAATCATTAACGCCACATGATGTCTGGTGCTGTCAGTTATTTAGGCGAAGCTTGGCATTTCTTTAGGGGCAGCTTGTACATTACCTACATTCAGTTAATACAGTTACATTTTATAGGGGACAATCGAGTTTGCGGCTCGTTGCGTGTAAATGATACGATGTTGTTGGTCGAGACGATGTATATTACAGATGATGATAAACTGACAATATGTACGTAGAAATAATGATCTTATATACTAAATAACAATAGGAAAATGTAAGGTGGGGTAACACAGTTTAGACACAACAGTGCTTAGTAGACAATATTGAATTTGTCTTACTATACATTATTAAATGCAATTATTATTTTGATGTATCTAGGTGACTGTGTCCCATACGGCTCATCTGATGGTAAGTGATTACCGCCACCCATGAGCACTATTATCAACAGGAGAATTGCTCTTGCAACGCTCTTGTGTTACCAGCCTCTTAAGAAGGAATAACCTCTTTTTTTTGTTTTAACATCGCATCGGTTGTGAAGCAATGGCTTCAGGACCAATACGGCAATGGCTGGAAGGTGATCCCGCAATGTGGTTTTGTGTGGCAAAAAGTTTTTGGATATTGCACGATATTGGGATAATATAGACCACAGACAACCACTGTTATATCTTTTGAGTTTTCATGTCTGTTAGACACGCTGGCGAAAGTTTATTGAAACATATGATTTTAAAGCAAGTCTGTCTCTTCAACTCTATGACGATGACTTTAAAAACGGTCTTTAGAAATTTCTAGTATTCATAACATTTCGCCCAGCAAGCAAATTGCTTACATTCCTTTGTCCAGTTTAAGGAGATATGAGAAGATGAGATGAGATGGGATGTAACAGTAAAATTCTGGGATGCGTGACTCAACTTAGGATCTTTAAGTCTCTGGTATTCTCTAGGTGCTGCAAATATCCGGCCTCCTTTATTGTTGACTGTTTATCTTCTGAAAACGCTTCTTTTCTTTTAAAAGAAACAGAAGGTAGACTCACCTGACATGGATCCTAGTTCGTGGGGGTGGTGGGAGTTGTTGTTGCTTAATGTTGTATTGTTGTTACTTTCCGCGTTGGTGGTGCTGCCTCCACTTGAGTTTGTGCTCTGAAATTGCACCTCGTGTTAGTATTGAATCAACAAATAGCCATTGCAGATAAGGATTGTCGCTATCAACAGACGACATGTAGTTATTAAAAATAATATGTTAAGGGAGGATAATACAGTTTTGTAATCCCTAATTTGATTTTTAAAATGAATTTCCACCTTCATTTAATTTGAAAAGAATAAGAGTAAAGTTTCTTGTCAGTTCTTCTTGGCTCGAAAGCACTCCGAACTGACAGTAGATTTAACACATCATAAGTCTGTAATAGACCTACATGTATAAGATATGAATTTGGAATTTTAGCCTTAAGTCAATCAGTAAAAAAGTTACAGAGTTGTTTATAATTTATAAAACATAATTGTGTCTTTGGACAATATAATGAATATCAAAATAAAATTCTAAAGGAAAGTAGGTACCTATATGCATGCAACGTACGTGCAATCATGCGAATGAGTGAACGCAAAGAAATAGGCAAAAACAATCAGTCACGATTGCGCGTGTTCGACAGCTGATAATGTTAATAACTACATTATATGTTATCACAAATATGATGTATTTACCTTTTCTAATACGTCGTGATCTTCTCTGCAATATAATGCTCCACCTTCTCTTAACGCGAATTCATCACCTGTGGAATCAAATCCAAATTCATTTATTCGTGTAGGACATTTTAGCCGCTTATGAATTTCAAACGTAATGTAATTTTTTCCCTACCGTCCAGTTCAGTATACAGATTCAATTGAGAACTGGCAAGAAACTCTGCTGTTTGCAAGATCTATGCAGATCAGGCTCTGTTTAACACCGTCGAATAGTTTAAACCTCGCCGCGGTTTCCCCAGGAAACCATCATGATAAATTCACTGTGAATTTACCACGATGGGCTAACTGATCTGACCTCATGCTCATCTTATCATCCTCCACTGGTGCCCTGCCAGCGTAAACTGTTAGTGCAGGCGGGTGCTTTCCATTATCATACCTAAGAATACCAAACCCTTTAATAAAGCTAATAGGATCTCTAGGCTTGTTATTGTAATTTTAACACGGTGGGCTAACTGACCTGATCTCATGCTCATCCTATCATCCTCCATTGGTGCCCTGTCAGCGTAAACCGTTAGCGCAGGCAGGTGCATTCCATTATCATCCCTAAGACCATGTGTTCTGCACTGAGTGATCGCGTCACTTGCGTGACGTGGCGGCTCGGCGAGCAACATATGATTCCCGCCACACGACGCCCACAGGCGGCTGAAAAGCAGCCGCCTGTGGGCCGTGTGGCCAGCAGGTCGGCCGGTAAAAGAACGACGCTGGGGTGGTTCACCCCAGCAGTACGCCCGGGCAAAGAGCCGAGGCTCGAGGCCCGTATCCTGCGGTCTGTAAGGACCAGCCGACGACCAGGTTTGCGCATCCCTTAGAGCCCCAAACCTTTTAATAAAGCAAATAGGAGTTCTATCAGCTTTGTCGCCTGGTTACACTGGTACATATCTTTCACTAAACCGGTTATTGTAATCTATCGGACTAGCTGGAGTTGTTTTAAGTTTGGTAGGCTTGTTATACTCGTAAATTATCGGACATTTCTTTCAATATAAACTATCATAGGATGGCACGTGTGGACTCTGATCCTTTGCCGTGTAAACAATCGTTTCCTTACAATGACAGCAGCTTTAAAACATAATTAGTTTATGTTAAGTGCATTAATAAAATCAATATCAGACAGATGTGAGCTGTCAGCGGAAGCGGAAGCCGACGAGATATGTAATTGGAAGGAAGTTTTGAAATTTTGCAACTTTAATCAATTAACTTACTATTATTATAAACGGGAAAGTTTGTGAGTATGGATGGATGGATGTTTGTTACTCTTTCACGGAATAAATACTAAACGGATTTTGATGAAGGTTTACAGTAATATAGTTTATCATTGGAATAAGACATGGGATACAAGCATATTACGCCGACCCCAAATAAATAGGATAAGGAAGAAGCAGATGATGATGAAGACATGGGATACAAAGTTCGTGCTCGTGAAACCGCGGGCATATGTAGTCCATTATAATATTGACGATTAACTGTGGTTTCACACCCGTGAAACTTATAGCATACTAACTGTACCCGCGACTTCGTTCGCGTTGAAATAAACTTTATTTTTCTAAAATAAAATATTTTTTCTAAAATAAAATTAGCCTAAGTTACCCCTTATTACAACAGCTATCTGCCAAAAAAAGTCCCGTCAAAATCGGTCCAGCCATTTCAGAGATCAGCCGGAACAAACAGACAAAATTGGTAAAAAATGTTATTTTGGTGTATGCACCGTATTTATATTCATATGCATGTAGTAGAAAACGGTTATATCAATATTACAAACAGACACTCTAATTTTATTTATATGTATAGTATAGATGTGTTATTCTGATGTATACGCTATATCACTGTAAAGTTTCATCAGAATCCGTCCAGTAGTTTCTACCTGAAAGAGTAACATATATCAATTCACACTTACAAACTTCCGCGTTTACAATATTATATTATATAATAAGATTAGTATAATTACAATAAGGCCGGAATTATTGCTAATATTACCGGGTATGAGTTGTCTGGCGCACGCGCAGCACCGGAAGCAGTCGATGTGGTAGATTTTCGTCTTGGCGCGCATCACGAAGTCGTTTTTGCTGAACGATGCACCGCATTTGTCGCATTTTGTACCAAATAACCTGTGGGCAATACAAAAATTATCGTATTAGGTATATTTTTTATTACTACCATAACTTGCCAATCATTAATTCTTAGATACTAGCTACTCGACACGGCTTCGCACGTGTGTACATGTATTATAAATACAAAACATCCTCTTGAATCACTTATCTATTTAAAAAAGCCGCTTCAAAATCCGTTGCATTGTTTTAAAGATTTAAGCATACATAGGGACAGACAGCGACAGCGACTTTGTTTTATACTATGTAACTTCGCCCGGGTGTACATGTATTATATATTTAAACCATTCTCTTGAATCACTCTATCTATTAAAAACATCGCTTCAAAATCCGTTGCGTAGTTTTAAAGATTTAAGCATACATAGGGACGAAAAACAAAGTCGTTGTCGCTGACTGTCCCTATATATTTATACTATGTAATGTATAAGATATAATAGTGTAAAGTTTTATCAAAATCTGTTCAGAAGTTTTTGCGTGAAAGAGTAAATTACATTCATCGAGTCCTGTCTAGAATCCGTAAAACAAGTTCTGCTTAGCTTAAGACTAGATGGCGTTGTATGGTTGACCAGGGTTATTATTATTATTGTCAATTGTCGACCTATTTGTCTCTATAACATTAGACTTCTAGGTTTTCTTGTAATAGAGTGATTCAAGAGGAAGGTTTATATGTATAACTAGCTGTTCCCGCTACTTCGTCGAATTTAGCGTGGAATTTAACTTTAATTTTCTAAAATAAAAGTAGCCGTAACTTAGGCTACTTTTATTTTAGAAAATTAAAGTCTTACTACATCAGCTACCTGCCAAAAAAAGTCTCATCAAAATCGGTCCAGCCATTTCAGAGATTACCCGGAACAAACAGACCGACAGACAGACAAAAATTGTAAAAAATGTTATTTTGGTGTACGTACCGTATTTATATTCATATGCATGTAGTAAAAAACGGTTATTTCAATATTACAAACAGACACTCCAATTTTATTTATATGTATAGATACATGTACACCCGGGTAAAGCCGGGGCGCGTAGCTAGTTATTCCTATAAACAATAAAACTTACAGCTTTAAAGCTCTCCCAAAAATCTATAAAGCGCTATACCAAACCTCTAAGCACATTTAAAAACACCCCCAGCCCGGGTTATTGACCGCCACTTAGCAGAATGAGCCCCACCCCCAGCAATCTTGCTAAAAGCATCGCATATACATTGTATAGGGTTGTATGTTTGTATGTACCTGCGCAGATACGGAACGGTTCGAATGGAATTGAATGAGTTTGTGATGGAAACGGGTCAGTGTGTGTTTTCTGTAGGTGTTATTATATGAAGGTCTTGGTGGTGTAGGGGTTTAACGCAGCGCTTTACGATGGTCGAGGGTTCAATTCCTGGGACGGTAGACATTTGTATTTATGAGCATGATTGTTTGTATCGGTCTGGGTGTTTTCTATAATAATAATAATAATAATAGTGATATATACCGCATAACGTAAAAACCATGCAAAAAAAAGCTGTTCTATAATAATAATAATAGTGATATATACCGCAAAGCGTAAAGACCCTGTAAAAAAAGCTGAGAAAACAAAATATAGGTACCTACAATTAATAATAATCTCAGGACAATTCACACAACGCCATCTAGTCCCAAGTTAAGCTAGCTAAAGCTTGTGTTATGGGTACTAGATAACTGATACAAATACATAGATTTTTTTTTCCTAAATACATACATATTATACATAGAAAACACCCAGATAGATATATGTATAACATGTATGTATTAATAATAAGAGAAAAAATATATATCTATTGTATTGGTATCAGTTATCTAGTACCCATAACACAAGCTTTAGCTAGCTCAACTTGGGTCTAGATGGCGCTGTGTGAATTGTCCTTAGATTAGAAAGCAAATAGTAACATTATATTTCACCCCTTTATGTAGACAAAGTCGTAGAATATACTTAGTTCTTTATATTTATTACTGATATTATATTATTTTAAAAATTTACCTTTTTCTACATGCTACCTATCTGTCTAGGCGTATCCAATGAGGCAATTAGCGATATTCGATATCATGAGTCGAGCTCAGATTACCAGCTCCTGTACAGATGTTCGTGGAACACGATATAACTTTACACATTTATTAACGTCGTATGTAAATAAAGAAATTAGGAATTTTCTACCCAATTTCGAACTACAGTAGATCTATTTTCAAATGTATGAAGAGAGCACTTATCGAGAGATTCATATGTAAACAACATAATTAGGAAATTTCGATCTAATTCTTAAAAGCAGGAGATCTATTTTCAAATGCAGCAAGAGATCATTTATTAATGTCATATGTATATTACGATATATGTAATTTTGAATCGAAATTTGAAAAGCAGAGAATCTATTTTCAATTGCTTATGGTATATGCACTTATCAATACAGATTTCGCGATATCAATTGCGGTACAGATTTTTATTTTTAATATTTTCCTATTTTTTTTTTATTACTATTTTTATAGGCTTTGGTCCTTACACAGACGAGTTGGGTACTAGATAACTGATATAAATACTTAGATCTATTTTGATTATGACAAATTACAGGTTAGTTTTAGTAGAAACGTGATATTATAGGCAGTGGGCTACCTAAGGGCAATGCCCCAGGGCCCTCAAACACAGGGGACCTTCGAACTCTTACCAGAAAATATCGACCACACGGAAATTTTCAAAATTTCTCCAATTTTTAAAATAAAGATGACAGGTTGCAACACGACTTTAATCATGGCAACTCAGTTGAGTGAAATTCGAAAGTTATACCTTCGGAATTCCTCTAAATTCTTTCTGTTGGTTGGCAGTGTTGTCAATTTGACGGATAGCGATATGTGCGTTTTAATAAAACTGTAATATCGCAAATTAAAACCCACTTTTTAAACTTTGTAACACTTTGTAACCAAAGGCCCCAGGGCCCTTGGTTACCCCACTACGCCACAGATTATAGGCATCATATAAAAACGCGATATCGGTGCTGTTCATGTATATATATATATAAAAAAAACGACGGCTACCACTTATCTACAGGTAGACCGTTAGTGTGTCTGTCATTCTACTAGAAACTACATTTTAAAATTGATTATTTTAATAAAATACCAAATTGCCATATTTCACACATTCAATACAAATTTAGAAACTTATTTGTGTGTTTGTCTGTGGGTAAATTTCGGATGTTTATATAAAATCGTCACTCGATAGCCGCGGGCGGTAAATAAACATTACATTTCCGCCGTATTTCCTTACAAAGGGTTAATATTTATAAATATTGCCTACACCTAAGAGATTATCATTTTGTATCGATTCATTGTAATCGATTTAATAGAATAAAAGAAGAATGGTGTTTGCTGGAGAAATATTGCAATGTTTAATTTGTTTTAATCATAAAATATATAGAATATATTGTACACGGATTTTGATAATGACGCCACGGAATGTTCTAGAAGGAGTGCTAAATTGTATATTTTTTTTATTTTTATTTATTTATTTACTTAATACAGAAAACATGTGTACTAATTTACTAAAGAAACGATTTTTATAACGATATTTATAAATATATTAAAGGGCTATTTGCGATCGCAAACAAATGGAATAGAGAACTGTTTCAAATTCAAATTCAAAATATCTCTATTCATGTAGGTCTATTACAGACTCTTATGACATGTCAAATCTACCGTCAGTTCGGAATGATTTTGAGATGAGAAGAACTGACTAGAAACTCAGCTCGTAGTGTGTTCGACCTTTCGGTCGTTGTATTTCCATTTAAATTCATATTTAGTAGTGAACCGGTTTATAGTAGAAATAGGTACACGTGGGGTAAAAAAGCAAATAGTCTTGCGCAAAATTATGCACCACGCACCTTTCTTTTTATTTTAAGTATATATAGATATAGCAACAGTATATAAACATAGAGGTTTATTGTTGTCCCTTATACATCCAATTTTTTTTTTAATTAATAAACAGGCAAAGAACCTTATGCCGTACAGACTAGTCCAGTTTTAAACTTCTTTAGCTTCTAAAACCTATTAGGAAAAAAGGTTGTCGTCAAAGAGGTTGAAGGTATGTATGTAATAACTATCTTTTAAGTTACGTCGACAAAACTGCAGAAACTTCAGTGAGGTTAAGTTCTTGTGTAGCACTTAGTAGTATTTGTTAATTTGTGTGTTAAGTAAAGACTATTCAAATAAAATAACATTTTAGATGACTACTTAAATATTTTCGCAAACTTAGGCCTCTAATGTACCTAAGTAGTTAATGTTCCTGTTTTATTTACTTTAAAACATCGCTAAAAAAATATTGACCGAACATTTTGAATTGCATTACACACAAAAAAGTGTAATCGAAAACCCGCTTATCCGGACCGGTGTAAACGGGAACAAACATACCATAGACATATCGAGTTCCCGCCGCCCGCCGCGCTGTCAAAGTGACGTTTGTTTTGGCGCCGAAATACATAATGCTCAGTCAAACTCCGTTTGTTTTCTCTACGGCACATCAGAGTGTAGTGACAAAAACAATTTTGCCGTTCGAAACACGAATTTCCGTGATCGAACACGCGATTTTATATTTTATGTCAATAGAATAGAAGTTATTCGTTTAGGCAGCACGGTTTGAAGACAGTATAACGTTGTGTGTTGGAGCGTAATTCTATATTTTGGCTGGGAGAGATAGAAGGGTGAAAATGTAAACAGATGCAAGTTATTTTAGTGAATTCATCTTTGGTCTGTGTATATAAAAAGTGGCGCCACGACGTGATGGTGATTGACGTCGGTTATGAATTCCATTTCTTATTCGATTTTGTTATAAACTGCTGAGCTAATATGGGAATGTTTTATTGAAACGAATTTGTTCTACATTTGTAACATTAACATTTGGAAGTACGATTTGAAATTGAATTATTTCGACGATTAACGAGGAATAACTGACTATGTAAGGTTGTCTGTTCTTCTCATCTCGAAATCATTCCGAACTGACGGTAGATTTGACATATCATAAGAGTCTGTAATAGACTTACATGAATAAAGATATTTTGAATTTGTATGTAGGTACTTATAGCAGTCGTCCAGTATACATAACAAGAAAGAAAGAAATATGTTCAAGAAAGAAAATAAGAATTAAGTACTGTTCCATAACTGGATTGGTTCTCTGAAGCTAATGAAATTGATGCTGACTTAATGATTTTGTTAATTATATTTTTTTTAATATTAATAAATTGGCAAATAAACAATAATAAAAAACAGGGTGAGAAGAAATCAAAAGGAAAAAACCAAAAGCTGATTTAGCCTTAGTAGAAGACAGTTTCAGATGATGATGATGATGATGAGGTGATGCTGTTTGATACAGACAGTGAACCTGATTCCTTGATAGGATATACAGCTCCAGATTCTGAAGACTCGGAGTATAATTTCTATGGTATGCTGATTTCTAATGATACTGAAGGAAACATGGATCAAGTGCCTCACGTGTGGGCACACAATGATTGCGCTAGCCCAGACTTTATCTGGATTTGCGATTTTTGTAAATAATTTGTTTTCTTTCTTTTCTATAGGTATTATATCAAATACTATATTATATCAAAGTTTTCAAAGAGTCACTTAGAAGTTAAGGTTAATTTTTGATAGTGTTTAGGTACCTATTAGGTTCCATACGCTCACAAAATTTCATGAGAATCGGTCAAGCCGTTTCGGAGGAGTATGGGAACGAAAACTGTGACACGAGAATTTTATATATAAGATATGTATAAAATATTCTAATAATATATATCTATTACATATATATATAATCTTTACTGTTATTTAGTCTTTGAAAAGTTTTATTACCTCAAAATAATCATCTATCAATATAAACTATTATTAAATATGTGATTGTAATTCTTAAACTTTCGTGTTTAATATAGGTATGTTCGAGTCAAAATAGTTTTATACTAGTACAACTAGATGGCGCTGTATTTTTGCATACATATTTCTAAAACACGCTAATAAGATATTTTTGTTGTTCCTTATATAGATGTGTAATTTTTTATTTAGGCACTTAGATCAATATATACGGTTGTAACCTCATAACTGTATTTCATTCAATAAGTACAACGCTCCTGATCTCCAGAACCTCGACTTTATACAAGGTACATTATTTATATTATAAACGTCGAGTATAAAATTATTCGTGTTAAGATCCGGTTAATAATATAAAGAAAAGTTTTTTACTTATAACATTTGTGCACATTATGCCTAAAAATCAAAATTATATTTCATATTTGGTCACTTTCTTCTATCTATTATTACACTTAGATATAGAAAACAACGAATCAATACAAAGAACCTTACCTAGTATAATCTCTTTTACAATACGTCTTCCCATCCCTCACGAAGCATGTGCAGCTCTCGTCGAGGAACTGCCGGCATTCCTGGCACTTGAGGCAGGCGGCGTGCCACTCCAGGTCCGGAGCCACCCTCAGGATGTACTGGTCGTGGATCTGACCGCCGCAGCCCACGCACAGCGACAGCCGGAGCTTTTCTGTTGGAAGAAGTTAGAATGAGAACAGAATAGAATAGAAAGTTATTTATTCAAATACTTAACTAATTAACTTTAAAAATACACGTTTTATGTTAATTGTGTATTTTGTAACAAACTTTCAGAGTCTGTTCGAAATTATATACATATTTTTATATTAGACTAGCTGTTCCCTCGACTTCGTCCGCGTGGACTTTAATTTTATATTTCTAAAAAAAAAAAGTAGCCTAAGTTACTGCTTATTGTATCAGCTACCTGCCAATAAAAGTCCCGTTAAAATCGGATCTTCGGACGGACCATTTCAGAGATTAGCCGGAACAAACAGACAGACAGAAATTGTAAAAAAATGTTATTTTGGTGTATGTACCGTATTTATATTCATATGCATGTAGTAAAAAACGGTTATTTCAATATTACAAACAGACACTCCAATTTTATTTATATGTATATCTGTATAGATAAATCCCCATAACTAATACAGAATATGAATGGATATAAAGAAATTATGAATAAATTATAATGTCTTGTCCAAAATCAATATAATTGAAATGGGCGTGGCACCTTGCCGCCCTTTCGCTGCGGTGTCGACAGCAACTATACATCTCACTTGCTCGCGCCTATCTCTCTTGCACTCAAGACAACTCGCGTGATCATAATGCGAGGTAAATACACGTGATTTCTTTTTAATCGATCGCCTTGGCACCGAATCGGTAACTATTAGATTTCGGATAAGATTAATCTACTGTTGATGATAACATTTAACAAGGACCAGCTTTATAGTGTTTATAGGTTTAAACGAATTATCTTTGTATGTACTGTAGAAGAATCCTACTTAGATATACTTAACTAGTTGAAACCCGCGGTGTTGCTTGCGTGAAATATACTCAATGTTATTAGCTAATATTGTAGCTATATTATATGTGTAAGATGTAGAAATAAAAATAAATACACAAGTTCTCTATTGAATAGAATAGAGTAGAAATAATCTTTATTCAAATAAACTTAATATAAGCATTTTTGAAATCATATGTTTTTTAATCTACCACTCATTCGTAAAGATGACCCGTCACAAGAAGAATGAGCAAGAAACTTACGTGTTGATCTTTTAAATAAACGTTGTTCAGAGTTGCATTCTTAATTACTGTCTGTTAATACAAACTGCCAAAACAAACTAATATTACAAGAGACAATAGGTTTGTTTTGTCCACTTCTCAGTCAAATTGAGCATGTCAACAGATGCGTTTAGAACACCTTCTACTACCCCATATGATGAAGTCGTGAATATATATTTACTTATAGGTATATATAGCTAGACCAAAAGAAATAGCGAAATTAATAAAAATAACAAAGGTGCGAGAACCGAACCTGCGACCATCGCAAGATGAGGCGTTGTACCTATTCAACCACTACACCACCGGGGTACGCCTATATAGATAGACTAGCTGTTCCCGCGACTTCGTCTGCGTGGAATTTAACTTTATTTTTCTAAAATCAAATAATTGTTCTAAAATAAATGTAGCCTAATTTACTCTTTATATCAGCTACCTGCCAAAGAGAGTCCCGTCAAAATCGGTCCAGCCATTTCAGAGATTTGCCGGAACAAACAGACCGACAGACAGACAATCAAAAATTATAAAAAGTGATATTTTGGTGTATGTATCGTATTTATATCCATATGCATGTAGTTAAAAACGGTTATTTCAATATTACAAACAGACACTCCAATTTTATTTATATGACTGTATATCTATACAGTTACTATTTTATGTTGTTAATTATAAGATTATAATTAACAACATAAAATATTAAATTTATCACCTTCGAGATAATTATGTAATACCTAATATTATAATACCAACTATAATTTACAATTAATTTGTTCATTGCATTTAAGTTAAATTAACTTTATTATATGCACTTTACAAAACCACTTTATAATAATTATTATTTAATTATAAACGCTGTTTTTTTTATATAATTATAATGTTCACGATAATGACCCACTTGATGGAAAGAGGAAAGAATAAAATCTTTGTCCTTTATAGATATACTTATATACTAGCCCGTGACTTCGTTTGCATGGAATACCTACTGACCTTGATGAAACAAGGAAAAAAATATTTAATACTAGCTGTGTCAGCGACTTCACTCGCGTGAAATTTATAGCCTATATGTTAATATGATGTATAAGATACATTACCTACTGTAAAGTTTCGTCAGAATCCGTTCAGAAGTTTTTGCGTGAAAGTGTAACATACATCCATCCATACTCACTATCTCACTTATCCCCTTAGGGGTGGAATATATCAAAATCCTTTCTTAGGGGATGCCTACGTCATGGTAGCTTTATGCATGCAAAGTCTCAGCCCGATCGGTTTAAAATTGACAAAGTTTCATACAAACTTTTATCCCCTATTTTATCCCCTTGGGGGTAGAATTAATCAAAATCCTTTCTTAGCGGATGCCTACGTCATAACATCTACCTGCATGCCAAATTTCAGCCCGATCCGTCCAGTGGCTTGGGCTGTGCGTTGATAGATCACTATGTCAGTCACCTTTGAGTTATATATATATAGATAAGATTCTTACCAAAAAAAGCCAAAAGTTTAATCGTTCTAGCTTCAAAAATGACGAATTTTCATACAAACTTTCATTTCCTATTTTATTTTACCTCCTTAAGGGCAATATTTTTTAATGTCATATTTACATTTTTATATTTAATCAACCACCTAAAGATAAGTTTCAAGCTTCTAGCTTCAAGCAAAGCTATATGAAGCATTGCTATTGCAAAAGCAAATATTCTAATCAGTGTTCGCAATCCAAATCTATAACTTTTATTAATTAAAATATCTTTATTCATGTAGGTCTATTACATACCGATGTACATTTATGATAAATCTAATCTGTGATATATATATACATATATATGATAATATAATATATCTTAATGTAAAAATGTAATACATTCATGAAACAAATCTAAATTACAATCTTTACAATTTTACATGACAAAGACAATAAACAAAATAAGATAAAAAAAATTATACTTCATTATCTATACCTAAATTAATACGTGAAACAAAAACTTTGTACCCCTTTTTTAAGAAATTACGCACAATTAGGTATAGCTTGGGTACTAGCTACTTGCTCAGGCTTCGCCCGAGTGTAAATGTATTATATATATAAACCTTCCTCTTGAATCACTCTATCTATTAAAAAAACTGCTTTCAAATCCATTGCGTAGTTTTAAAGATTTAAGCATACATAGGGACAGACAGCGACAGCGACTTTGTTTTATGCTATGTATCTAATGAAGTCTGTAGTCAAAGTGATTTCTTTTTTCGGCCTTCTCTAATGCTGTTGGCCGCAGCTGGCCTTTACAGCTTCACCATATGTATGTATTTACGAAAAAAATATCTATAGAGATATTTGTATCAGTTCTCTAGTACCCATAACACAAGCTTTAGCTAGCTTAACTTGTGTCTAGATTATTATTATTATTTTAGAAATTATTATTATTATTACAGACAACTATCATTTATTCATAAAGATTTTGAATGGTTTTAAATTTACACAATCTTCCAACATACTACTGCTTCTTCCTTATCCCATTTATTCGTGGTCGTCGTAATATGTTTTTCGCTTCCATTCATCCCTGTTCGCAGTCATCTCGTTATTTACTTCCTTTCTTACCATATCATCTTTCACACAGTCCATCCATCTCTTTTTCGTTCCTCTGCCCTTATAACCATCCACATTCATATGTTCCTTCCTTATAATATTATCTTCAATCTAACATACTTGTATATAATACCACTTTAATTTGACCACTAATAATTATAACACAAGGTTTATTTTTCTTCTTTTGGCTCCGGCTGTTTGTATTATCAGTATTGTATTACTGCCGGGGGGAGGGGATTGTTATTAATGTGGCACTAATGACCCCATTATTAGCAATGTACCTACCACGTCAGGTTGACCTACACGCGGTTCCCCCTGGAAACCATCGTGATAAATTCCTGGTGAATTTGTCACGATGGGCTAACTGACCTGACCTCATGCTCATCTTATCATCCACCACTGGTGCCCCGCCAGCGTAAACCGTTAGCGCAGGCGGGTGCACCATTCCATTATCATAAAAAAAAGGCTTTACTGCAAGTAATACAAAATTTATTGTTTTAATTCTCACAGTCCGATCTCGTCATAATGCAAAGTGGCGTAACTATATTATTGCAAAAATTTTAATTTTATTTTGCACAATTTCTTAATGTCATTTTTAAGAGCACCCGATCTTTGTGTCGTGACGAATTACTTCCGTTCGCATCGGGTTTGAATCCTGTAACGGTATTATTTTATTATTATGCATTTTTTTTATTACCTACTGAATCTTTATAATGTTTACCTATATGAAAAAAATTAGTGTTGTATATTTGTGTGAACGTCCAACTCTCACCAAATCGTAATATTATAAACGCGATAGTTTTTATGTTTGTTGTTACTTTTTCACGCAAAAACTCCTGAATGTATTTTGATGAAACTTTGCAGTAATATAGCTTGTGCATTAGAATATCATATAGGCTATATTTTTTATTGAAATTTAATACGAGTGAAACCGCGGGCGGGAAAACAATGTAGTCAGCGACTTCACATCTGGTTGACTATCAACATTATAACTATTCAATTTACATAAAAAAATCGTATAAAACATATACAATACAGTGGAATCATTAACTTCAATAGTTTGTTATTAATTGAACTGCAAATATTAACAACTATGTATATAGTTTTTATCAGACGAGTTAACACGAGCGAGCAACAGTTTATGGTTAAGTTAATGATGCGGTTTATGATTCATTAAAATGCTATGCCGCTACAGGGTTCCGTGGGTATGGATAGAGCTTACGGAATCTTCAAATAATCTTAACTTAAGGATTTTAGACCCACTTTTAAGTTAACAAATGTAGCTTACATTTCTTAACTTAAAAGTGGGTCGATGCCCAGAG